CATTGGTGTAATCTATCGATTTTGGCTGTGTATGGTGATATTGTTCATAGCGGTAGAGTAAGATATTTTGTAATTATCACGCGAGTTATGTGATTTATTATGTTTTATTATGTTTATAGTCTTTTAATTGTACAGAACGATACTATAGTCCGCATTCAAAAATGAACCATTACTGATATTTACTTTATTTATATACAATTATTCACATAACATAATCAGTAAACAAGAATGTGGTGTTGGGCTCGACAGACCAAATAATATTTTCGGGCTATAAGTCGAGCTGTATCCTGATATGTTGATCGAAATATGGGCTCGAACGTGAGTCTATTCTAAAGTTTTTGAATTTAGTTGATCGAAATCCTTATTGGATATTGCAAACTGTCGAGAACAGTGAAAGGTCTGCGCTATTTGATTTTTTCATTCCTCCCAGACATGCATAATTAATATACTTTGAAAACAAAAAGTTTAAAGATTGGAAAATTGACCATATGATTTATCGATATTTCTTTTTTGTTTTTTGATTCTTATCTATATCGGAGAGACCAAGGATATATCGAGTTTATAAGAAAAGGATATTGGCGCATTATCTGTAGATAGAAGAATCTTTTATAAACTTTTATCTTCTTTGAACTCTTTGTTTTTCATCTTTGTGCTACGATGCGGAACATCGTTAAAGTATCCGAGTTAGATAATTTGGTTGTCAATCCTGGTATTGAAATTAAAGTACTGAAGAAATGGCATGCGAGAGATAGGAATCGCCGCCTTAAGTTGAAGATGATCTTAGTTGATGTACATGTGATTTTTCTCATTCGATTTTCATTCTTTTTCTTGGGTCTTCTACGGTATATTTGTGTCTCGGTTGAGTTTTGGATAATGTTTACAGGGGTCAAAGATTCAAGCTTCGATTAGAAATAAATACGCTCATTTGTTTGATGATCTGCTTGTTGAAGACCGATGGGAGCTCTTGTGCGGGTTTGTGGTTAAAACTTCTAATGGTTTGACGCGTTTAGCAAGACATCCATTTAAGTTAAAGTTTGCTACAAACACCACGTTTATTGGTGTTGGTGGTCCTGGAGGTGATTTGTTTTTGTCTTTAGCTGACTTTGGGGATGTTCTTGGGGGTCATCTTGATGTCACGTATACTATTGGTAGGCTTTGTGATAATCGATAATAAAATCATTTAAGTTGAATGGAATAAACAGATATTTTGAATTTTTATTTGTTTTTTAGATTTGATTGGTGTTCTTGTGAACGTCGGCGATCTTGAGATTGTTGATGAGAATAAGATACAAGAAGACTACGCTGCTATTACATTTGAACTTCACGATGACAGGTGAGACGATTTTATATTTTGTTATCATAGTATCAATTGGTTCGGTTTTTGGAAAGCTTTCTTTTGTAGACACTGTGTCATCAATTGTGTTGCTTTGGGAAAACTGGCCGAAGATTTTGCTTTTCAATGGGCTCAACTTCGTGGCATAGAAGTTATCTGTATTTCTGAGGTGGTGGTGTATCAATAACGAATACGCAGGTATTGAAACAGTGTACCAAGCTATGTTTGTTTATTTTGACACTGTCTCATCAGATGTGTTGTCTTTTGATCCACTGTATTTTATTTTCGTATAGGCATTACAAGCGTTTACGCAATGCAGAAGTATTGTGAATTCCTTTTCAATGCAAATATTCCTGATGTTCGTGATTTCTGTGCTAGGTATTATTACCATAACCATTGTATAATATTTATCGTAATGGTTACCATGTATTTGTTCATGTTGTGGGTTTTGTTATAGGCTACAGTGTGATGAAGAGCTCTCGACTGCAAAATGCGGTGCGAATGGTCATTAAACCAGTTGTTTGGAAGCGCTGCTTGTGAAGAATAGTGCAAGTGTATCGTGTGTGTGGTGTTGAGACCTCTTTAATTGATTAAATAATTGTATTTTTAATATCAACATATCTACATTTTGATGACTTGGTTTGTTTCCGTGTTTTGTTTGGATTTTTTGTATATTTGATTTTTGTTTAGTTATTAGAAAATAGTTTACAATGTTCTTAACATTGAATTTGCGGGTCGATAGTTCTGAGTCGTACCAACGCCAAGTCATATGAAAAAAGCCAATTTTTTTTACTGAAAATCGAGTAATTAGATATGTCTAATTATCAATAAATATCGATTAATTGATACTATACACTAGAAGTGGAAAGCATATTTATATATTACTCTTTAGTATTTCAGAGACTTGTGTTTAGCAGTTTTGTAGCGTCATTGGGTTATAAGATTAAATCCGGTCTTGATGTTTTCGAGTTTTAGCAAATGACATTGATATATTCTAAATTTAGTAGATTATGGTTGGAGGTCGAGGAAAACGTGGTATAAGAGGGCGTGGTGGTCGTGGACGTTTCGATAGTTAAGCCCCTAGACAATGTACTTCTTCCTTTCTTTATCTCTTCTATATTTGTTACATTTTGCTTAACTCTCTCGCTTCTCAAGCTGTATGGCTTAATTACCATAGTTTGTATTGTTTTTTGCTTTTATTTGAAAACCCTTTATTAAAAAAAGTTAGTAGACTATTATGTTAATTATTGGTTAGCGTTTTGGAGAATGTGAACTGTCGAGAATATTGAAAGTTCTGAACCATTCGAATCTTTTCATTTATTGTATGTATGCATAATGATTACCCCGTGGAAAAATGGATTTTTAAAATAATAGATATATAATCTATCGGTGCCCGTCTCTTTGTCTTCAGTCTCTTCTATATTCTAGAGATCAATACGGTCTCGCTATTCACGGAAACTTGGATATTCAAAAACAATCATCCGTTATCTGTTATCTTGGAATGGACGGAGTTTCTAGAATAAGCGAGTTGGAATCTTAAAGAGTGGATTGGGAAATCAGGGTGATGGTTGGTAAGAGATGGCTAGAATTGGTGCCCGACGCTGGCGTTATTCTTCATTTTATTCTTATCGATGACCAAGTAAGATTCTTCTGCATGTCCTCTTGGTTGTGTTTGTTCCAGTTTTTTTTTTAATTGTTGAATACGTTCCAGGGCTCGAAAATACAAGCAACTGTTGGAAGCGAGAAATTGGTTCTTTATTTCTAGAAGAGGCTCCACGAGGGAGGTTCATGGAAAAAAATCAAAAATTTTAAAGTGGTATCGGCGAGATCGGCTAGACAGATAACTAAAAATATTTGGAAAATAGAGTTTGAGTCTAGCAGAAAGGTATTGAGTGATTTCAAAACCGGTGATTTATACAAAGGAGATTATCCACATATGTAATTTCTCGGTTTTGAGGATTTCTACCTCGGACGCTTTCAACGGAATTGTCCTGTTGGTAAGTCTTGCTAAGGATCGCTCGATTGTGGTTTTGATTCAAGAATTCTGCTTTATATTTTTTTCATTTTTTGATAATGTTTTTAGATTTGGTGGGTGCCATTGATTCGGTTGGCGAACTGGAGCTTGTTAAAGATCGTTCGTTTGAAGCTTTCGAGTCAACAAGGACGGCAAGGATTACTTTGCGGGATGAAACGTAAGTTTTTGGTTATCATCCATAATTGGTTTAACGCGATATATGAATTGGAACAAGTGAAACTAATATGATTTCAGTGAACGAACAATAACATGCTTTGAGCACGGAAAATTGGCAATCGAGTTCAATGACAGGTGGTGTTGTTGCAGCGAACAATTAGTCATTTGTGTCCTGAGTGACTGGCGTGTCATCGTACGCAATGGTAAGACACTAAAGTTATTTTATCGAGTTTATTTATGTATGGATGACGTTTGTTGATTGTGTCATTGTCAACTCTTTTATAGAAGAGTATCATGTTTCTGATCATATCAGTGTCTCGGGAGTTTAATTCAATCCAGCCATCCAAGAGGTGCTTGAGTTACGAGAGATTCTGTAAGATCTTATTTTTATTTTATTATAATTTCTTTGTACTTGTGGTAATGATTATGTGTTTTCTAATTCTATTGCTTGTGTATATTTGATTAGAATTGGAGGTAGTGATGATGAGGACGATGAGGCCGAGGAAGAAGATCTTATCCAAGACATATGATTTCAGTAAATTCATTTTCAAACTTTATGTGTTTTAAGCATTTGTTACTCTCCATGTTATTTTCTTTCAACTGATTTGTAACTTCTGTACCAGAACGTCCCGGTAATGGTGTTGACCCTTTTATAATACATTGTGTTATTTAATTTGGAGTTTGTATTAGAGTTGAAATATATCCATAACGAGGGTTTGTGTAGATTCTTATACGTAAACTGGTGTATCGATGCCCACAGTGTATATGATTATTAAACACATAATATGATTATTAAACACATAAAGTCTTAGGTATAAAAGAAACTGAATCAGATCAACCATAATATAACGGATCTCAGTTTATATATTATAAAGAACAAGAAAAATAAATCTACTAATGAAACGATCTTGTGCATGACTTCTTTTTTACTCAACCCTACTGTCCTTGGTTTAATTGTAAGGCGTGATATGCTGCTGCAAAAGTATTATGGACAGTGCCATTGACGGTCCTGCTATCCTCTAATGATGTTGGTCCTCGCCTTACTTGTAGTAGTTGTCTTAGATAATAGATTTCACCGTAGCCCGTCGGTACAAATGGTAGACCAACGTCTTCTGTTATGTTCCTTCGATGTTTACGAGGAAGCCATTCTTTTGTTTTGGTATGCCAAACCCAATGTAGCGGGAATTCCGTGTACATATAGTCTCTCGCTTCGGGGTAAAACGGTTGCAATCCATCCAGGCTACGAATTGGGTTTTGTGGATTTTCCGCGGTGATTCTTCTTCGTCGTACATTATTATATTTGTATGTGGGAGATGGAATGGTAATAGCTTCATCGCACAATCACACAATGATAGCGAACTCGGACAGGTTCTCTGTTTAGATAATTGATCATTCTTGTATTCGGTGAGCGGTCTATATATACTCTCTCTGATATTAGGGTTTTCAGTTGGTTTGTAATTTTTATATTTTTACGGTATGGGTGCCTAATTGTTTTTGGTTTGTATTTTATTCCATTTATTTAGTTTGGTTTGATTAGTACGGTATAGTTGATGAGCACATCAATATTTTAAAGGATACTTAATGTTCCTTTTTTGTAGATAAGTTTACTTTTTATGATATGGTTACTTAGCTGTTTTTGATTGGTACTTTGTTCCATTTAGTTAAATTTGATTTCAACGACGTAGTTGATAAGTACCGAGAATTTTTAAAGGATATTAATATTGCCTTGATTGTAGATAAATACGTGTACATAATTATTTGCGTATATTCGACAATCGTGATTCTTATAATACAAATCTATTAGTTAAGGTAGTCCATGTGTACATTCATATATTTTACTGTATTGTTAAATGTTAGTTAAACATAAAGTTGTCTGGATAAAATTCACTGTATATATTATATAATTTAAAAATTATCTAACTAGTTGGTATAAGTACTACTCATTATTCGTTGTTTCGTGGCATTTTACTGCGATAAGCTATGCAATAAAGGCGATCATTGCATACAAACTACTTTAATGTCATGGTCCTTTCTCTGTATGTTGTTGTGTCGTCGTCCTCTACTTCTATGTTTCCTGATCGTCTTGCTCGGGATACAGGTATCTATCTTTTTCTTGGTAATATATAAGTTATAAGATTGTTTGGTTTCGTTGTTTTATACTTCTTAGTCTAATTTCGGTTATTTTGTCAGATCCTTTGATGGTTCGAGATGAAGAGGCTTCTGATGACAGTGTGCGATCGTATAATCTGCCCCGTGTGTTCTTAAATGCACAAGGTATGTTTGTGGTTGATATACTTTGTGTTATAGTGAAACCATGTGTCCTGCTCAGATTGTTGCTAGAGTGTTTGGTTGTTTTCTCAGTGCATAGTTGTGATTTTTACTCATGTTTTTATATACAGATGTTAGACATTATGCACGTCATGGTCATCGTTCTCTCGGGTTTGGAATGTGTTATATTATGTGTAGTCCAATTGCCAAAGTGTGGTTAGATGGCAATGGTTGTGATTACATGGATTGTGATTCGTCGGGCGGGGATTGCGGAAGTGAAACCCCTGAATCATCCGGTGTCTGATGATGATTTGGTTGGCGATGATGATCGCTGTTTTGATGCTGAATGTGATGAACATGGTGGATCTGACAGTGATGAAAGTCTAAGCGATGAAGAGTCTGGCGATGATTCTGCTGCAGATAGTGCAACTGTCGATGGATATATTAGTGAAGATGATGTTTCTGTCTCTGAGATACCTTCTATTGCTGTTTCGCGCTCTGATGCTAATCCTAGCTCTCGCTTGGATTTGGAATATATACGAAAGGGATTTTTGCGTTGTCAAGCTTCATTTGGTGTCTCACAACTGACACCTGGTTTTGTTGAATCAGTAATATTCGTGAAGATTCAACGAGTTTGGACCACTTCGTTTCATTCGTGTGGTAAAAGATTCAGCATTTTTCTTTGTGATGATAAGGTCTGTTATAATGTCCCGTTTGTTGGTACTGTCTATTTCATTGTATCGTTTTATTGTTGTGTCGCAGGGTGTGAAGATCTATGGAACTGTTTATGCTGCAGATTATGACCGTTTCTCTTCTGTACTGAGCAAGGGTGTTTGGATTACACTCAAGAAATTTGTTGTTGTCGATTTGAATGACAATTATAGGATTCCATCTCATCGCAGTGAGTTGCATATTCTGAGTCCGACTGTGGTTGATAAGCAAGTTTATCCATGTGACCGGAATTTTTTTGATTTCGTAAGCTTTGGTCAGATTCTCATCAGGTCATCTTCCGAGCGTTCGTTGGTTAGTATGTAAATTTATTATCTACGTGTTTTTTTTGCTATGAAATCTGATATTGTATTGGTTTGATTTGCGTGCTAAGTGTGTAAGTTCTCAATTTTTTAGATTTGATCGGAGAAGTTGTGAATGTTGGAGATCTGAGAATACCTGATAAAGACGTTGGTGGATATGCTATGCTTACATTTGAACTAAGAGTTATAAGGTCCGTCGTGATGTTTATGAAATGTCTAAATTTTTAATTGTTTTTTTGGTGTAATATATGTTCTTTCGTTAATACAGTAACGTTTGTATCAAATGCGAGATGTTCGGTAGTGATGCTAGGAAGGTCTATAACGATTGGTCTACCTGTAGCGATGATACAGCGGTTTGTGTTGCGAGATGGGCCATCGTCGGGTCTACGCAGGTTCGTGATATTCAGTTTTTTGTTGTGTATTTTTTTGTTAAAATTTGATTTGTTTGATAGTTTTCGTCCGTATATATATTTAGGAAAAATTACTATATCTACTACGCATCCTACCGTGATCATGGTGAACTCTCGCCTTGCCGAAGTAACCAAATTCAGATTCATGTAAGCTTTTCGAAAAAGTTTGAGTTTCTTCCTCTGGTATATATGAATGACTTTTATAAATATTTTTCAGGCTACCAAAGAAGTGCTCGAAGATCCATATGAATAATAGCAAAGTTGGCAATCCTTGAAGCAAGTACCTGTTTTCAAGATTTGGAGTTCAATTTTTTTTTTTGGTGATTTATGTACTTATAAACTTTTTTTGTTCCCATGCAACTATTGGTGCATGTTTTCATAAATTTTATGACGTTTGCTTGGTTTTCTTGATTTTTATGTAGCCTCGATATTATTATATCTTAATTTATAATTTCACGCTGTTTTCTTTCTTTTGGTGTTTGTTTATATATAAATCCGAATCGAGGTTGGCAATCAAGTATTGTTTGATACTAAATTCAGAATATGGCCTATCGTGCGGACATGATACTATATTGAGTGTATTTTCATTATTGGATTGTTTAATTTATTAAGTAAGAATTAGTTTCGAGTATTTGATAAAACCCTCTCCGTGTAACAACTACGTGTTTCACCGTTTTGTTATTTCATTTGCTTCGGTTGGGTGATAGTTTGCCGATGTATGATGCGATGGTGTGGATGTTGTTCTCCTACTACTGTTATTCCTCTTTAACCTCATTTGGAGATTAAACAGGCTCGGCCCAAGTGGGGTGGCCAGGGGTGCGCCCGTCCAGGGGCTCAACCCATTTGTTCTTCAAATTGTGCATATAATAGGGCTCGTTTTTAAACAAATAATCCCAAATAGTTATATTTTTAATTTAAATTAGTATTATTAATAAAAATTTCATTACAGAGAAGCCCAAAAATTTAAAATTTAGTGTAAATTTTTATGTTAAAAGGCCCAAATATTTAAAATTTAATGAAAATTCATGTGTTGTAATTTTAGTATATGTTTCTTTAGTTATATGTAAATTCTAACATCTGCCGAGATCTGTACTAATTTGAGTACTGCTGTTCTTCTATCTATGATTTTAATTGGGAATATCTTTTCTCTTGGTGTTAATTCTTGGATTGGTATAACATAGTCATTCAGCTTATACTATAGTCGAAAAAATTACATTGGATATAAGATTAGTAGAGTGGATACTCATACCAATAATCGTATAATTGAAAATATTTCTTTAGTTATGTGTGTATTATTGATGTTTATGATATGGATAATAGATTTCTAAATTTAATCGTATATTGTATTATGATTCGCAGTCAACAATTATATGGGATTTATATATTTTTGTGTGATCGATTGGCATATAATTGTGGATATTGATGGTTGGTAGACTTGATAAGTGGAAAGTTTTCTTTGGTTACACTATTTTTTAGGATAGATATGCCTTTATTTATGATTAGTTATGTTATACGGTTTATATTATGTATATTTATGAAGATATATATGGAAATATAGCATTTATCTTGTGATAATCTCTTGAAAATATAACATGGAAATACTTTATTATATGCAATTGATTTTATGTATAAATACCTAGCATGTTCTGTCTTATTCTACATCTTTGCTTCTTATTATGAAATTTTAGTTTGATTTGGTTTCTAGGTCCTAAGTCATATTTAGTTTCGGCCATGTTGTACCTCAAGAGAAAACCACTCACGTCCGTCTTGGTTAATGACATTAAACCTCACTTGGACCGCTATTTGATGGATGTTCGCATTCTTAGGTTATGGAGTTACTTAAAACACAAGAAAATAATTTCTGTTGATATGGTTCTGGTCGATCGAGTTGTAAGTATTCTTTCTTTGGTTTTCTTTAGTTGGGGTGTTATTTATTATTAGATTATTATTTTTTGATAATTCGTTTTCTAAATGTTTACAGGGTACTCAGATTCACGCCATTATTGAAGAAGCTTTGGTGGTGAAGTATTCAAAGCTGCTAGCTGAGAATGGATGTGTTACCTTGAGTAATTTCTCTTTTGTTGATTACACGTCTGATTATAAGACAAATCCGTTGGCTTTTAGAATTCAATTTCATCGTTGAACTGTCGTCGTTCCTTGCGCAAATTTCTCCTCTGATTTGCCAGAGAAGTATCTTGCCAATTTTTCGGATATTGTGAATGGAAAACTGGATCGGTGTGTCTTAGTTGGTAAGTCTATGTTTCGGATTTTGTTGTTTATATGTATTTAGGACGCGTATTAGATCTCTATTGTTTCTTTTAAATATTTTATTGCTGGTTTTTCTAGATGTCTTTGGCCAGGTTGTGTCTGTAGGTTCTCTAGAGGATGTGGTTGTCAAGAGAAAGAAGGTTCCTAAGTTCAATGTTTACCTGCGTGATATATTGTAAGTGGGGCTGATGTATTCGTTTCTCTGTTTTAATATATTAGTACTGTTTCTATTTATAATAATACTGTGGTGTTCTTTTGCTAGGGATGATCGCTTGACTTGTACTTTCTGGAATGATTACGCTACGGGTTTTGTGGATTATTATAATAAAAACGAGGGCAAGGATATTATTTGTCTTATCCGTTTTGCATTGATCAAGGAGTGGAATTATGTCGTAATCATCTATATTTGTTATTTTAGTGTATGTGTTTATTTGTGATCTATGATTTTTTATGGTGATTTAAAACTTGTGTAGGAAATTTTAGTCTATCTAATTCACTGAATGTGACCCGTGTGATCTACGAAAAGTGTTCGGCTGAGGTCGAGGATTTCAGATCACTGTATGTTCTTTCTCTGATGTGTATACTGTTGTTAGTAATCAGTGGATATGTGTCATTATTTTGATTATTGATATATTGATTTTGCTAGGCTTTCTAAGGATAATTTGGTGATTACTAAGACTGAGAATAGACAGCTGTCATTTGTTTCCTCTGCGTCACTCCACGATGAATTTTTCATCAAAAACATTAGGAGGCCTATCGAGATGATTGTTCGTTCTACTGAGGTATCTTCTTTTTGTTATTTTGTAACTCTTGGTAGTATATTAAAAATAGATTTATACTAACTATGACATTGTTTTAGGTTGGCAAATTTGTTACTGCTGCTACTATCGACGATATCGAGTTACCTAAGTGGTATTATATTGGTTGTAACCGATGTAATAAAAACGTTGAGCCATGCGAGGACATTTCCGGTTATGATGGACCTCCCCTTTTCGATTGCTTGGAATGTAAGAAAGATGTTTCGGATGTTGTTGCACGATATCGTATTATCGTACACGTCTCAGATTTGGATGGAGATGAGGCTCGGTTCATGCTCTTTGATAGTGTCGCTGAAACTGTTCTTGGGATATCGACAGCTGATTTAGCCAAGAGGCATCATGAGGTACGTTGTTCCTTAGTTTTAGATAGTGTGTTGCAGTGGTTGTTTTGTTGTCTATTATTGGTAATGATGGTCCTGACTATTGTTATGTGCACCCAGTCTGATCCAGCTACTTTGCTCTAGCATTGAGTGTTCTGGTCGGGCAGGAGTATCTTTTCAAGATTGGTGTTGGTGTCGATAATCTGAAGAGTAGAAAGGCGCCATATATCGTAGATATAATGAGTTCTGATTAAGAGTGGATCGACTTATTCCACCAGGATGCATCGTCGCAGGTATTCGGTCGGAAACTTTATTAATTTACTTTTTTATATATAATATCCTGTATATATAAATTAGTATATATATTTTACGAATCTAATTGTTTGTTTCATTTAAAGGCCCCGTCTGAATTCTCTTTGTTGTCTTCTCTAACGAGTTCGTCGAGGAAACGTGATGCGCCATCTGCATCGGATTCTGGAGAGAAGGGTGATATCACTGTCGAGAAGAAATCCAAGTCTCTCGAGTGATCAAACCGTTTTTGCATGGGAATATTGTGGTTTAGGTTTATGGTTTTGTTTTTTATATTAATTATTAAGTATTATTGTGTAATTTTATTTATGATAGTTTTAGTATATGTTTTGGTTTTCTCGGCTTTGATTAACTCCGTTCGGTTTTTAAATCTATCTAATCGATATTTCTTTATTCCAATAAATATATTTTATTCGTAATATCAATCGTATAGTTTGAATGTAATATCTGGTCTTTTTGGAAAACGATACACACAAGTACGATGATGAGTATTCAAATTATAAATTATCTCGTTTAATTTAGGTATATTATTATATTTTTAATAGTTCCCTGTTTTGTAATCATCTAAACCTTAAGTGTGAGCAGGTCTAGTCTAAATACACACATAATATTATTAGGTTACGTGTGCCAATGCTTTGTGTGTGTATAGTCTGCAATATATATTACTTACTGAACTTAACTCTTATATGTAATATATATAGTTTTTTGGTTTCCTTTTTTTTAGAAAGTATATCTTTTTAATTTCTGTATGTGTATTATAATTATCTTAGATATTATGGAAGCAAATCTAGCATATATAGTTATCGTTTATGTAAATATGGATTGCATAATTATTTGAGAATTTTACATATATTATTGCTAGGGTTTTGCATTTCACTGCTTCATATATATGTATATGTATGCCATTATTTTGTGAGTATACGTTCTAAAGTATATCTAACAAATTTATACCTATTTGAGACGGAAAGCGTGAAAGAAGTCAGGAAAAAAAATAAGCAATTCTAAAACAAAAGTCTCCGGTGTACCCATGAAACGTATGCTTTGCTCGGATTTAACTATTTATGCGAATTTCTTCTTCTATATTCAGTTGTTCTTCTATTCTTCTTGCAGGTGTTTTGACAAGGAACCAGCGATACGCTCCTGGGAATACTACATATGTGTCTCTTTTTGTCCAGTATACCAATATAGATAACTTAAAAAGGGAACGTTACGAGGAAGCTATAATAAATAGGCTGGCGATTATGATGTTCAGGAAAACTCAACAATTTGGTATGTGATCTGAGAAAAAAAAATTAAAAAAAATCTAATAATTCTCCTTCATTTGGCGCCTGTTATTAATTTATCTATGTTTTCTGTATCAGGCTCATTGTCATCCGATCCTTATATTGACGATTTCATTGCTTTTGTGCCCACTGATTCTGAGCCCGATGGCGACCGTGACGATGTTCCCCGCCATAGGTGTTCTCGGAGGGATAGCAACTTGGACGAACATATTTTTGATACTGAGGTCGTCGCAGATTCTAATGGTAAGGATTGTTTAGTAAACCGTTCTTCATTGTTAATGTTTGTTATGTTCTACTATACTATTATTTTGTAGGTTATGTCGATGAGGGTGATCCTTTCCATGTCTGTGGAAATTGTCAGGCTTACATGTGGATTGGTGAACGTTTGCAAAAAAGAGTAAGAAAAGGAACTCCGCGTTTCTCGATCTGTTGTGGACAAGGAAAAGTTGACCTCCCACTTCTTCGTGCTCCTCCGAAAATATTGCTGGCCTTGCTTTATAATAGTGAACAAGAGAGGTGACTATCGTGAGATTATAAGAGCATATAACATGATGTTCTCGATGACTTCTCTAGGTGGAAATATTAATCACTCTATCAATGATGGTAAAGGTCCCTATGTCTTTCAAATGCATGGTGAAAACTACCATCGCATCGGTTCTATGCTTCCGGACGACGGTGAACATCCTGCCTTTTTGCAGTTATATATTTATGGTACTGCTAACGAGGTCTCTAATAGAATCAAATCTTATGGGTAATAGTTCGAAATTTTTTCCGTTTGTTTCGTATCGGTTTTGTTTTCTTCTCATTGAATTTTGTTTTTAAAAAATAATGAAACCACAGGAAATCTCAAGCGAATGGACATATCAGAAAGGATATAGTTGAGCGCTTTAAAAAATGCTCGATACTTATAATCCACATGTGAAAGCACTGAGGATTGCATCTGAAAGGATTGCGTTGACTTCGGAATATAATATTAAAAGTCTTCGGTTAGTTCTAAACAGTGAGAGACAGCTCGATGGCAGGATACATAATTTTCCAACCGAGAATGATGTTGCCGGTCTTATTCTTGGAGGTTATGAGTTGGGTGTTGACACACGTGATATTATTGTTGAAGCTAAGGATGGTAGTTTACGTAGGATCAGTGAGGTGCATCCTGCTTATTTGGCACTGCAGTACCCCCTTTTGTTTCCTTACGGTGAAGAAGGTTTCAGGCTGGTTATTGATCTTGGATTTGTAGATACATCTGGGAGAGTGCATAAGAATATTACTAGAGAATGAGAGGCCACCACTGTTGTTATGTCCGGTCGTTTGTATCAGCAATTTCTGGTGGATGCTTATACGATGATTGAGTCGAGTCAATTGTGATATATTTTCTTCAATCAGAAGAAATTACGATGTGAAAAGTACGACAAAATTATTGAGTCAGCAAATAAAGGCGAGTGTAATTTAGCTGATCATGGGAAACGGATATTAATACCATCTTCTTTTACTGGAGGGAAGAGGTTTATGACGCAGCATTATTTGGATGCCATGGCGGTGTGATAATTCTATGGATTTCCAGATTTATTCATCACCGTTACTTGTAATCCGAACTGGCCTGAGATAAAGATATCTACGCAAGCATCAATTAAAAGTGGAGGATGGACCCGATATTTGTTGTCGTGTTTTTAAAACGAAACTCGATAATCTAATCCATGATATAACCAAAGGCGAGATATTTGGTCGCGCTAATTCGAGTATGTTATTTAGGTACTTGTATTACCAACGTATATTTCTCGGTTATCGTTTTCCGGAACATTTACTAATAACATAATTATGATTTGTGTTATATTTGTTTTTAGCTATGTATACTGTCGAGTTTCAGAAGAGGAGGCTGCCGCATGCTCATATGGTGTTGTTCTTGGATTCTGATTCAAAATTGCCTACTGGTGATGATATCGATAAGATTATCTCAGCTGAGATTCCTGATAAAGACTTTGAACCGCATCTGTATGAGGTTGTGGGAGATCTAATGATTCATGGTCCATGTGGTGAAGCCAATAGAAGTAATGTATGTATGGTCAATGGGAAATGCACAAAATACTTCCCAAGGGCTTTCAACGAAATAACGCGGGTTGATGAGGGTGGATTTCCTTTATACAAACATCGAAACGATGGTCGCAATATTCGGAAAAGGGTTTTTGTTGTGACAATAGATACTTTGTACCTTATAACAAGGAATTGACCAATCGTTATCGTGCACATATAAATGTCGAGTGGTGCAACCAGACGAGGTCTGCGAAATATCTCTTCAAATATATACATAGGGTCCTAATTATGTCAGTGCAGCCATTGAGAGTGATGATTCTAATAAAGTGTTCTTACATGATGATGAGATTAAGAAATATTATAGTTGTCGGTGCGTGTTTATTTTTTTGGTTTTGTTTCTGTTTAATTCTTTTCGAATTTCGTGAGAGTATATTTCAATTTCGGTTTGCGTGTTATGGACTGAAGGTACATATCGGCTTGCGAGTCTACATGGAGAATTCTTGCGTTTCCGACGCAGTTTAGGACAACTGCTGTTGTTCAGCTTTCTTTTCATATACCAGGTCAGGAATTTTTATTGTTTAACGAGAACGATCCAATAGATGAGGTAACAGCAGGAAAGAGTTTACGATGACCAAATTTTTAGCTTGGATGGACTGCAATAGAAAGCACTCCAAGGCAAGGTAATTGGCTTATTCAGACCTGCCTACTAAGTTTGTTTGGCGCAAACGTACCAATTTGTGGGAACCAAGACAGCGTAGTTTCGCGATTGGTCGGAACACATATGTTCCACCTACTTATGGAGAAGTGTATTATCTAAGGGTATTGTTCAACATTGTCAAAGGTGCGCGAAGTTTTGAAGAGATCAGAACAGTCAATGGGGTTGTTCATGCGAGTTTTGGTGATGCATGTTATGCCTTGGGTCTGCTTGATGATGATAAAGAATACATTGAGGCGATTAGAGAGACGAGCTGGTGGGGAACTAGGTATTTCTTATGCAGACTTTTCGTAATCATACTTCTTTCAAAAAGCGTGATTAAACCCATAAACGTTTGGGAAGCAACTTGGGATATTTTATCTAAAGATATGTTATATTTACAAAGAAAAAAGCGTCGAGATCCATGTATCGTATATAACACCCTATCGATTGATTTATTTGTTTAGTTATCTGAACAAATTTAACTGATATAAGTATATTCGCTTATGTTATATGGAAGGTTTGACGTTGTCAGAAGATCAGATTAAAAACTTTGTTTTGGCAGATATCGAACGGATTTTACAGATTAACGGCAGTTCCTTGGAGTATATTAATGGAATGCCTTGTGTTGATGTTAGTCCGATGGGGAAACATAAAAATCATCTACTTGCAGATGAGTTGATTTATAATTGTGACGAGCTCAAGTTACTACATGCACGATTGTTGGCTACAATAACATCCGAACAGAGGGCGATCTATGACGAGATATTGGATGTTGTACATCGTGATGCAGGAGGAATGTTTTTTGTTAGTGGGTTTGGAGGGTGCGGAAAAACGTTTTTGTGGAGTATTTTGGGTACTGATATTCATTCAGAAGGAAGTGTTGTTTTGAATGTGGCATCGAGTTGTATCGCTGCTTTATTGTTACAAGGTGGAAGGA